TGTCTACTATGTATTAAGTGCTCTTTTTACAAAAGATTTTTATAATAACCTCCTGTATTTTTATTTTCTTTATAGCCACTGAAATTCGTTGCCAGGAGAAATCGCGTGGTGGCCTCAGCTATGAAGTAATTTTAGCCGAACCAGCACCTAATGTCGTGGTGCCCAAACGGCCAGTGACACCTGGCAAAAATGTCTCAGCCGAGGAAATCGAACAAAAGCTGAAAGCTGCCGAGGAAAGACGCATTGTAAGTGACATATTTGTAAAAAAAAAAAAAAACTTAAAATTACTATGACTTTTATTATTAACAGTCTTTGGAGCAAAAGAAAATGGCCGATTTATCCTATAAACTATCGAAAATTGAAGAAGCCACACGCAAAAAGGATGAAATTACCAATGAGTTTATTAATCAGACCAAGGAAAAGTTGGAGACTAAAATCGAGCAGCATGTTGAAAAGCGCGAGGCCATTATTAGCGACATGAAAGAGAAATTGAAGGTGAGCAAAAAAAAGCCATTTGGGGTTATATTTCAATATAACGAAATATTCTATAATTATGCAGATTCACTCACAAGAAGTCGAGAAGACACGTGAACAGTTGGAACAACAAAAATCGATTGAGAAAGTGGCCATAGAGGAGAAATTGAAGACAGCTCAGACTTTGCGAGATGAGAACATTAAAAAGATGTTGGAGCGCCTCAAGGAGCATGTAAGAATACATTTTTGTAATTTTTCTTCTTTTAAACATCAGACAACTCATTTTTGTACTAACATTCACTCACTATCGCACCTACCACCATTCATAATCCATAATAAATTTAAAGAAAAAAATAACTACCTTTTGGTTCACTATACACTATATAATGTACAGAATTGTTTGTATTTTTAGCATTGAAATAAATAGCGTTTAGAAAATACAATTTTAATTTTGTATGCGGTTAGTTCACGTTACATACATACATTTGTACATAGTATTTATTATAACAACATCACCCTAATAAACTGAAATTGCACTTTGAGATCAAAGCACTGGCATGTTGCTCAGAACTTGAATGACTCCCTCCACATACTAAACTTTTTCCGAAAACCATGCAATTCTGATTGATGCCAATAACAACAAACAACAAAAGATATATTAGCTTATGTGATTTACGCTATAAACAAACTATTCTATTTGCAACTAACTCTTTCCGCCCTTTCCATTTTTTTCGTTGCAATACTCCTACTAACCAATTTTTTTTTAGTTAAATTGGAAAGCATTAAATTAATAACATGTCTTGTTGCATTTCTGGATTAACTAACTGACTGACTGCATTTATATGTATTCATTATAGAACACAAACAAAAAAAATCATATCGACCAATTGGAAACACAAAAACTCGAGGAGAAGACCCGCATTATTGAAAATAAATTGTACACCGCTGAGCAAAATCGCGAAAAGGAGTTACAAAAGAAAATTGAAAAAGCTCAAAAACTTGTAGGTGTCGCCACTATCGTTTTCTAATTACTCGTAACACATACACACTGCTTGTACATTTAAAAAAAAAATTATTTTGTGCTGTAGCTTAGAAAACTTGTTAATTGGTTGAAAATTGTATAGCTTAAATTTTTTTATTCAATTAAGTTCACAAGATGTTTTATACTGTCGTATTGTTGTATGTTATAAAAATTAAAGTACGTACGTATTGTTCTATACATTTATTTAGCCGTTAAAAACTTTACGACATAAGACAATACGACACTTACGACCCCTTGTGAACCACCTAAATATTTAATTTTTCGTTTTGCTATTAATGTGCGTGTATGACTTGATTGTCATTTTCAATAGTGGCCTTATTTGCTATAAAAAAGTCTAGCTTTTTCAGGCATTTTAAGCTGGATTTACACGGGTCGTTTTCTGTCGAATAGAAAATCGATTAGCCAAACCATTTACATTTACGGTTAAATTGTCATTTACATGGGTCGATTTTGGTTGAACGGCAAAAATCGATTAGAAAATTCATCTGTGTAAAGGCAGCTATAATACATAGTATTAAGAAATCATTAGGGGTATTCACGTAAATCTATAAATGAGCAATTTTTCGAAGCAGATACAGAATTTAATTTTTCAAATTTAATGTTAATAATGCCCGTAAGCGCTATGTATAAATATTGTACAACAGAAATACTCTAAAAAATTTTAATTTATGTATGCTCCACCGAAACAATAAATTAGCGCATTCGCTCCTGTTACCGTAGTTTTTTATGAAAATTTCCCCTACACCCGGAGGCTTATCTGACTTTTATGAGGGAGTTGGACTTAAAAGTATTATTGGGAAGAGTGTTGAGCACAATATATACCGAAGTTGCGGTGGATACCTCATATTAGTATCTTTCTACATATCCTATATCGAATTTTACGATTAAATAATAACATTTATAAAAGAAATTATAACCATTACGGTATCTGATTGAAATTGCTGCAAAATCAATATTCTATAAGAAAGCTAAAACTAAATTATAATTAATTTTTTCGAAGTGATTAGATTTGTGAATACCCCTTATATGTTTTAAATTAGCGGTAATTAATTTTGATCTGATCTATATTTCTAATTGATATTCTTATAGTGTTCAGTATTAGAGTTATAACGTTAGAAAACAAACAATACATTCATTAAAACATACATACATTTCTAAATACATACATAGTATTACATACAAACACTTTTGCTCAACTAATTAAGTCGGCGAATTTTGACCAGTTTCAGCTATTTTCTGTTTTTTATTTAATGTTTATTTATTGGAAAGACCTGCGATGGTATGCCGTTAATGAACTTATTAGCAATTTGGGTAGGCTTTAGGCACACTACGCCATCACATAAATTTTCCGAGAAAATTACTTCTACCATTTTTCTTAGCGCTATTAACGTTAACAGCTGTTTCTTTATTGTTTTTATATTGCCACAAAGTGCTGACTCATAACTCTCTCCTAACATACTCATATAAAATATTCATATAAAAGCATGAACAGACGGCAGCGTTGATCCGGATCAACTCGGGGATTAACAGCAGTTGATCCGGATTAAGTCCGAGTTAAGCCGAATCAACGCTGCCGTCTGTTTAAGCTTAACGAGTCACACATCTTTTGTTTTTGAAGCTCAAATTTCTTACCCACCTAGGACTCCTTTCGGACTCATATATTCTGAATGCTCAGAATATGTTTGCGGGGTTATTACAAAAGTCATGTCATAACCTATTTGAAAGTGAAGTAAAGCTACTCTTGTTTCATTTAAACTATAAGTTTATAGATTTATTTAAAAAGCCGCAATATATTTTTAATAGGCTGTAAAACGTAGCATCCCATGTGGGACCCCACCAGGCTCCTAACGTTATTCTGTTCAAAAGGCTTACGTAAACTGCATACCAATAATTATTCTAAAAAATCCGATTACTAATTCAAATTTTGTTGAATGTTTATAATTTTTATTCAAAATTTGATATGTGGATTTATATGGTGTTTGTTATATAATGGGCTAGACGACTTTTTTTTTAGGTTAATAAACATTAAGAAAAATGGCCAAAACTGGTAAAAATGTCGCTGGCCTAAAATTAGTTGAGTAAAAGTGTATGAACATACATATATACATATCGTCGCTACCATGTCAAACTATCGAATGTGAAAATTGGTACTTTTCAGAAGAGCAAAAAAACTTGTAAAAAAATTATGCCATTGGAAAAAGTATGGGATTCGATACTTTGCTAAAGTCAGTATCCTCTGCTTCTAAGAAGACTAGAAATTTGACGATTTGCCAACTTACGTATCATTCTAAGCGCATGCGCAAGGTATCGTAATTGAAAAAGCATTTTTGCACATTCAATAGTTTGACATGGTAGCGACGATGTATCGAAATATGGGAGCACACATACATATGTACATACATACATGAAAACGAAACGTACAATGAGCAATTTTATTTCTTATTACATTTGCCGTAATTTTTTGACTATCCATCAAAATTAAACGTTTTTCTGAATTACGAGTTTTCTATAATTTTAAGCATTTTTCCGATTAACATTTTAAAAATATATTATCATAAAAATATGATTTGACCAAAGCGGAGATAAAACGGGACTCCAAAATTTATTTAATTCAAATTTCTAAAGTACAGATAAAGCTTTGAGGCTTTTGTGGTTTTGTTGTAATACCATCAAATTTTTGCTAATACAATTAATTACGGTTTCCTTACTTACATACATTTAGGGCCGGTTGTTCAATGTCTGATTAGCAAAAATCGGAGGTAGAAGCTCCGGTTAAACACAACGACTGCTTTATCGATCACATGTTATATGCATGATGACGAAAACGTTGATAATGAAGTTTAACCGCGAAGTAGTGATAACCAGACATTGAACAACCGGCCCTTAGGCTTTTGTTGTCGACATAAAATATGTTTGCTCAACTAGTCCATGTTAAGCTCAGCAGTGTCTTTAAGTGTACGAAAACATTGCAGTGTTAAATTTCAACTAACCTCACCCATTTTCTCTTGCACTTTTACTCTCTACAGGAACGTCGCGCAGAATTGGTGCGCCAAAACAAGGCGGCAGCCCAGCAGACGATTTGTGATGATACCAACACAGCTATTGCCTCATCCGGTTAGAGCGAATAACAACAAACAAAACAACAACAATAATATTTATAAAAAAAAAACAGCACACACACACACATACATAACAAACATAGCAAACAACCAGATTAAAAACAAAATAAAATAGCAGCAACAACAACACTGAACATAGAAGTGTAAAAAATGGTTGAGGAGCTTTGCAAAGATGAAAAATATGTGAGCGGTGAAGAAATGTAAACAGGCATGACCATTAAAAAATTGCGTAGATTAAGTCTCAACACATACATATGCAATATTGCAAAAGCAGCAGGGCAAAGGAAAACGCTAAAGCAATTTTGAAACGAAGCCAGACGTTGCACAACTTACATGAATGAACTTTAAAATATGCAAATAAAAGAAAGGAGGATAAATAAAACACAAAAAAAAAATAACAAAAATTTAAGAACCATGCAAATTATTTCAATTCAACGTTTCAACATCACTCTTGCATATAGAAAAAGAACATCTGCAAAGATCCATAACTTAACACTCGAAAAATGGAAATAAAGAAGACAGAAACAAATCAATAATAAAACTCCTAAATAATCGTAAATATTATGGATAATATAAATATGGATGAACTGCAGCAAAACATACACAGCAACACACTATAACTATTCGAAGAAAAATGGAGCGAAAGCAGCATACGCATTAAACGCATTAAAATATATATTCCCATTATTATTCTCATTATTATCATTATAAATTAAAATTATAATTATATTTTTATTACTATTATTATAATTAATTAACTGATTTATTGATTGATTGATAAATGAATTTTAATTGATTCACATTTTATATGTAAGTATATTTCTTATTGAAAATAAAGAAAATACAAAAATAGAACGAAATGGCTCGTTAGCAAACACAAACTCAAACACACACACAACACGAGTAGCGCAAATGCTCTTTTTCAGATATTCAACAAATACTCTCTCTACTTAATTAAATACATATAATCGCAATAAAAGCCACAACAGCTAAAAGAAAAGGAACCATAATAAAAATAAGCTACCAAATTCGAAATTTCTCAAAAGGGAATCGCATAAAACGATGTTAAAGCCGCACGATGTCGGTAAAATATAAGGAATTTTTTGTAACTACACATAAATTGAGGTCGAAGAAAGAAAACTGAAATAAATATACATATGTACTTGGGGTTTAAACGATATTCAACAATAAAAATTGCATAATGAATTTGCTGGTTTAGCTGCAAAACATATTTGTATGTATGTCTATGTAACGCCATGTACTGTTTGTATTTGTAATTTTCAAAGGAATGTCTAAAACCGCATATTATAGTCTTTGTACAAACACGTTGATTCTCAAAATAAATATGTGTGGTGAAAGCATTGTAATTGCATGTAAGGGTGGGCGAAATGAGAATCGCATTTCTTTCAAACTTTTTTATGAGTTAGTATTTAAAGCTTTTACAGCATTCATTTGCATTTATAATTCGCTAATTAACGCTTTAAGAGAAAAGTTGTAATCAAATAACCTTAGCTACTAAACACTCAGCTATCCAACTGTCTGGATTTATGTAGATTCACTTTGAAGCAACTAAATAAAGACACACAATTTTAATTCGCTTAATAAAATTTTACAAATACATACAAAGTATTAATACCTAATTTATAATTATATTTGAAATACTGTTTCGAAATTGTTCGGTAAACAAATATGGAGGAGTAAAATGAAAACTCATTGCTTGTCGGCCATCAACTTGAATAATCGCATTTTTATAACATTTATTTTTGATTTATATTATATGTACGTATGTATTAATGTATTACCTTAAGTTTTCGTATTTTCATTTAATACCTTTGCAAATGAAACACAAAATACTTTTTGTATGTGTTCTTTTTTAAGCAAATAAAAATTAAACAAAAAAATCTAAGTAAATTACAAATTAACATTTAAAACCCCAAACCAATATAACCTGCTTGTATTAAAAAAAAACATTGAAAATTGTGAAAAGCGAAAAAAAACTAATAAAATTATAAATATAATATACGAAGTTTGTTTGATTAAAAAGAAAACATTGGGCATCGTAATACATGGGACAAAACCAACTATTGCTGAATAATAGAACTTGCTAAATTCTTGGCCCAGCTTCAACTTTTTGTGTTGTTCGCCGCGATGCCACTCAAGTAGAAGGATCTAGAAAAAGTAAAGTCGGAATTTTTATATGCTCTCACCCATACCCATTTATGCTCAACTGTACGATGGAAATAAATATTCTAGCATTTTCTTCTTGAGAGTTGCAAACTGATTTAAGAAATTAGGTTTGTTCGTCGAGCAAAAAATTTGTACGAATTTGTACGAATTATCACGATTTTTGCCCAAATCGCGTTCGTGCAGACCAAAAAATTATCCAACACGAAAAACATGTGGTTGTGGCGCATGGTTGCATTTTTGTCTACAATAATTTGAATAAATTAGTTCGTTAAATTTAAAAATTTATAAACACGAGCGATTTTTTTATGAAAAAAGGAAGTAAATAATTGTTGATATAATTAATTTAGTTAATTCCAATGATTTGAACTTA